TTGCTTTACAGATAATGCCATCTTATTTACCATGAGCTAATCCTGATAGTATTTTGATGCTGTATTTTTTGATGTTTTTGTTGTGGGTTTTCGAGTGATTTTGAGTGATGAAATACAGCTGTGTTGAGCTAATGGAGACCTGGTGTATTAATAGGTTTTTATCCCCAGCTTGTCCATTGCTGTCACTAAACTGAATGACTGTTATCATAGTTTAAACTAATTTCTTTATTAAAGAGTGTCAGCAAACAGGACAAATGAAGTTGGCATATCCTTGCACAGTTGCACGTCAAGGTTATTTAGAAAATAATTGATTTGTTGTGAAAACTGTTTGACAATATTATCTCAGTAGGAGATTAATTTGATTATTTTAAGACAACTAGATTTGATTGCAGGATTTTTTGCAAGATATTTTGCAATATAGGCTACAGAGTGACGATCCTTCAGAATATTTCTTGACTATTTAGGCCGAACGGCTCTCCAGCCTCCTTCCTCCCTCTCTAACCAGGCCTCCTCCATTCGCCTTTCTTATTAAGTTTATTAAAGCCAGTCCACATACTGGGTTTCACAGGTCCAGTTCCTTTGCCCATTCATTACAGTGCCTTATCCTGGCAGGCAATCTGAAGTGTGCACTGAATAGTCCATTATGCACATATGAAGGCCATCAAGGCCCCAGTATTGGTCAATTCATCAAACTTTTATCTGTTGCCTTCTGAACAGGACGTCATTATGCCTGTCACTCTGCAGCTCTGGCCCTCCGTTTAGAATAACAGTGCATTGCTTTTCTGCACCACTGCGATCCTTGAGAGTTCATCAGCCCTTTGACTGTGGACTGCAGCTGTGAGGGCTATCAAGCTTTTCAAAGTGTTTGTGTGTGTTTTTAAATAAACATTAGACTCAAGAACTTTTTCGCAATTGCAGTGCTGGCTGCAGGGATCTTGCCTCTGTGATCGCTATCACCATTCCAGAGATAGAGAAGGTTTTAAGGTTGTTTTACATTATGGCTCTTTAAATTCCACATTTGACCTATCGTCTTAAGAGTTTCTAAAAATGGCCAACTATGATTCATTTAGGTGACAGTTTTGAAAGCAGCACACATATTACGGGAGACTGTGTAACACATGTAAAAGAGCCAAGTCTGCCATTCCCCATTTTTTCATGTGTTGTACCTGAGGATATCTGACATGACACTAGCGCACACCATTGGCAGGAGTGACTGACATTTCAGCCAATAATGGTGGAGAGTTTTCTTCCCTCTGTTGTCAGCGGTGGTTTATCAATCACTATGTCTGCATTAGTATTAGTGTATTGATCTGGCAGGGCTGCTCTCTGGGTCAGTGTCTCATCTCCAGTGTCCTTGTCCGGTTTCTCACATCCTCCCTTGCTTCCTGTGCTGACTTTCTGCTCCGGCTAAATGTTATGTACGCTGTGTGTTGAGTAGACAGGATCCCTGCAGATAATGGTGATTTCAACATACATGCACTACTTATGTAAGCTCAAGGGCACACACACTTATGCACACAGGGCTGTATGATGTATGATTGTGAGCTTACACAGGCTAAGTGGTAGTCAAAGCGTAAAGACAGCCCGTGTGAAGTATTAGCTCTGACAATGAGGCTGATCATAATTATCTTAACAAGGAGAGGATTCATCGCCTTACCTCGTTAAAGCTACAGTCTCTCTCTCTCTCTCTCTCTCTCTCTCTCTCTCTCTCTGTGTCTGTGTCTGTGTGTCTTTTGCTGGTTAGAGGTTTAAGAAAACACATTTGATCTGACGTTGCTATAGAAATTCCATGTTACTAAATATGTATACAATGAGTCGATGCAGTATGATATGAGAGTACATTATTTTTCAAATAGTATTTGTAACCTATTCTTAGTCCTTTTTTGATGAAAGTGCATACTAATAGCTAATGATATACATGAACGTAAGTGACTAACAGTTTAATCTGTGAAAATCACATTAGCAGATGTATGAAACATGGCAAAATGACAGTAGAAGTAGCAGTAAATCTGTGAAATTACAACATTTACATTTGTGAAACACAAGATACATTACTGAATAATTTCATCACAGTAATTTTTAAAGGAAGTTAATTACATAAAATAATATTAACATTAGACAACACATTTTATGTATCTTTACTACAAACTGTGTGTTTGTGTTTTGCCTGTTTGCCATTTACCAAATCTCTATAGTATTGGGGCTCAAGTCAATTATGCTCATTAGTTTTGTTAAAAGCAAATGCTGCTTTTTTTTTCCTTTTTTTTCTGAAGTGAAGTACTTTTACTGCAGTGCTTAAACTTTGTTAGTTTTCCAAGCCGCACATTAAAACAAGAAAGCTTATAAAAAGTAATGAAACCAGCTATGGAAATCTGCAGAGGGAGCATAGAAAGCTGAAGAGTATTAGAAGTTCAATCCGTGCACTGTAGTTAATGCTGGATGGGACTCAGTGGCTCTCCCCTGGCTGTGAATTTAACTGATTAAATCAGCCAGTGCACGCAGCAGTGGTGACATGAAAACAACAATTAATAAGGCTCCCTCCTGTGCCACGAGGCTCCCTTTAACCGAGCAGCTAATAACATAACCCACAGGACTGCAGCCCATCATAGACACACACGCACACACGCACACTTACAGGTGGCAATAGTTAGTTAGCAACCTTTGTTAACAGCAAATGCAATAATGTTATCCAATGCGGTACATAGTTGTGTAACTGCACATTTACAAAGATTATACTCATCACATTAATTACACGTTGTACCAGATTTCCTGTCAGTAATTAACAACACAGTAACTGTGCTGAAAAATATACGTTTTGTTTTCTTATAGCTAGTTTGGGCCAACAGCCCAGTCATATGTATGCTACCTTACTTCAACTTCTAGTCTACGTATAGTTTCGTAATTTGTCATTTTCACAAAGCTGAGCCAGACAGAGGACACATTTTTTCAGGACTTTATCTAGCTGATTTTTAAAAAAATCCAAGACAAACAGTCAATTGACCAAATATATATAATACCGAAAAGCAAAAATGTAATTTGTTAGTATATCTGAAATTAATCATTTTTCCCAGCTCTATAGATAAAGTGAGTTAATTAGCCTTTTTGTTTCTGTAAATGAAAAAGCTCCATGGGGAGAAAAATAGCAGAGTAGGATTTCATAAAACTGGCACATCTCTTATTCATCCATCTTGCCAATGCATTAATCAGACCTGATAAGAGGTTGTCAGCTAGCAGCTTTGCCAGCACACTGGCTAGGTGCTGTCAGCTGTTGTTGTGTGTATCAAGTGTGTGTGTGTGTGTGTGTGTTTGTGTGCGCGTGTGTGTGTGTTTGCAAAATCTTGATGTCTTTTGAAATGAGCCGACTCAGTCCGCATCACTCGCAAGTCATCAGTGACTTGCTGATTTGTCGTTTTCCAGCCGAGATGATTGTTTCTACTTTTTGCTTTGTAGTTCAAAGTATGTCCACTCTGTGCATCTATGTGTGTTTTTGGATCACGGACTGCATTTAATCCAAGCTGACTGGCCAGAAAAAGCACACAAGAAACGGCACGTAGAGCAAGTTAACAGTTGGTCTGACAAACTAAAAGTGTGTAATAAAAGTGCATGGATTGCTACTCACTGACCAATTGGTTGGACAACATCAACCAATCTTTATACATCTTTATAGATCCAAGTGTATTTCTGAAAACTACATTATATTGCAAGTACTCATCATCTTTGTTAAAACGCATTCTTCTGCCCTGCCCTAGTTACTTTTCCATAATGAATGTGACTGTACATTTTGCCCTGCCCCCACGCTGCTTACTGCTCCTTACCACCCATTTGCAGATTGTCATGATAAAGGTGTTATATTTACATAGCTTGAAGTTGGTGTGTATCATGGCAGCCATTGACACAAGGCAGATCCAGGGAGGAGCAATAGCTCCATGCTGCAGCTGTTTAGACCTCACTGTATCTTGAGTATGTCATGTTGCATCGTGACACTGTTAAATGGAATTTATGTTTTAAAACCAGAAGCATACTGTACAATACTTATAATATAGAATTATATTATTATAAAATTTGGATCTTATGGTAAATCATTTGTTTAGTCAAATATATCAACGGATCTGTATTAAATTCAAAATACTTGTTGTGTACACTGTGAGAAACATATCTGGAGAAGTAAGTACTGTCTGCATCAAGTTCTGGAAGTTTTAAATCTCAATGAAGTCACCCAGGATACTTTAACATGGCATGTTGACAGTGTGGGGGATTAGACAACACACACATTGCCTTTGTGCACCCTCCATGACTTGAACTTTGCAGGGCCCTAACATTACTTCTAACACCACCCTCCATCATTTTTATGCCTATATGAATGTGTATGTGTGTGAGAGAGAGACAGAGAAGGAAAGAGTTGAGATGACCCTTCACCTCGCTTTGCAATGCATCATAAAGAAGCAGAAAGGCAGAATTCCTCCTTTTTAAAAATAAATAAATAAATAAAAATCCTTTGATGTTGAAATCCCAACACTAACCCCTGTCCCGGCACAGTTGCAAAAAAAGTTTCCCTTCCATTCCATCTCTGATTGCGAGTGTATTCCGGTTCCTCTGTGAAAATGATGGATGACAAGTTAAATTTGTGTCTGGGGAGTGAAGGTGAACTGTGACAGAGTGATTTGTCTTGGGAATGGAGGGTTAGGGTCAGGCGAAACTGGGCGCCTCAAGGCACAAGACATTGACAAATTCATCCTGCCCGCCGCATTTCTGAAGCCTTTTGTTTTGAATCCTGGCTACTCACAAGTGACCCCCATCCCTCATCCTGCCAGCCGCTGAAGGATGCCTCACCATGCCAGGGGAGCTCAGCACCACTAATTCTTGTCATTCACTCCCCTGACAGGCCCAGACCCATACTCTCCCAGCGTATGAAAGAGGGAGGCTGAAATATTTATTTCTGCACAATAACGGCTGACCAGATTCAGAGCCATAACAGTTTTCCTGTTGCCTTATCATTGCAGGTCACTGGCAGGCCTCAAAATGTTCACTGAGCTAGAAGAACTGGTCGTTGACAACAATCTGCTTGGAAATGACCTCCGGTTGCCCAGGTTACCCAACCTCCACACCCTAACACTCAATAAGAACCAAATATCCTTTCAAACTAATCCCTTTCTCATGTTGATTTGCAGTCTACTATGCAGACCGAGATGAGGCAGGCATCCGTATCAGATTCAACAGTTTACTTAGCTTACATTTGTATGTCAATACAACCTGCCTTTTGTCTCAAAGAACCGGTTTTTAATGTCATGGTTTTGCAGTGAGCACTGTGTGTTGCAAAAGAGAGTAGAAGAACTTGGCTGTCATAGAGCTACACACAGGACTAGTTTTTGAACCACAGGGACCTCTAGTGGAATCAGATTTTAGACTCAACATAACAGATGTGTTTTTATTTTCAAAGAGAATAAAAAGGGTTGGATTAAAAGTGCATACCAAGAATGAGGCATAATATAGTGTAATGTAATTGCTGTTTGGTAATATCAATTATTTTAAATTATCAAGAAAAAAATCTTAATACCAGGATTTTCCACATTTGAATCAGTTGCATTATACTTTATTACACTGATTTACCTCACTGAAATGAAATGAATCAGTTATTTAATTTGTCATTAAACACACATTTTGGCTCACTGATTATAATGGCCCTGTGTGCCCTACCACCCAAAGTAAACACGTTAAAACCAGAGCTCTGCACAGCCACCCTACATTCAAGACATAGACACATTGCGAGGCTGTTTATGATCAGTCAGAAATGTGTGAACTTCCCCTCTAAGCTTCAGAACAGGTTTAGCAATGTGTCCTGTTTTCCTCTGGTTATGCAGATCCTACCGGGTAACGATGCTCACTCTCTCTCACACATTCACACACACGCACTTCCAGAGTCAACATTAAAACTGGGGCTCCTTGAAGTGTGCGTCTGGGACTGTGCTGAGTTTGGTTGTGAAGTGGTCGGCACATGCTAATAGGCCAATTATGTACATCCTGCCGTGGCACAGTGCCATTTTAACGCTCGAGCACTGCATTAGTGCAGTTGTATTTTGACACTTCGGGGCTCAATTTTCCAAGTGAATGTATTAGTGATGAATGTGCCTGCTTAGGGGCTGTTTGTTTTTTCCACGTTTTGCAAAAGTTTTCCACAGCACAGCTCTGGGAAGCACGGACTGTTTGAACCACAGGGCATCCATCATTTTGTCACTGTTCTGCACCCGGCCACCTAGGAAATGAAAGAGATCGAGAGAAAGGGAGAGAGAGCGGCAGCCAAATTGTGTCACTACTATATGCCAAAGCCTGCACCTTAAATTGCCCCTCTGTCTGCCCAGTCTTACAAAGCCAGTGACTAGCCCCTTTGAGCACCTCGGTAAATTTGACAGTGACGTGTTTTAGTGCCGACAGGCCCGGGAGGGGCCGTCCGGGTAGTAAATGCTAATGTAATTAACAGCTCTAGGTCCTTGACATCCGCCCTTTGACACCTGACTGATATCGAGGCACTGCTGGAACACTTGGCTGATGTGACCCCGTCACTGGAGTACCTAAGCCTGCTGGGAAATGAGGCCTGCCCCAACCAGCTGGTCAGCCCGGATAAGGATGAGGACGACTACCAGAGATACAGGTCTGTAACTACATGAACTGTAAATGAGGTCATACATAAATAAGGGATCGATATTACCCTGACACACAGACGTACAGATGGATAGATAGATCATGTTCTGTGTATGTGTTTATATTTTCAGTCTGACAGATTTGATACTGAACTATTTAGAGTGATAGCTTTTTGTAAGTAATGGATTTGGAGATGTTGCCTTTTTTAACATCCAGCTTCCAGCATTTCACAAGTGACTGTGTCAACCACATCACTCTAAAAGCTTTGTCAACCGGCCCCTCTACACTCCAGTTTGCAAAATGGATTTCATGTGTGACTAGTCACCACCACAAATGAGTGTTTACTACCCTGCCTTACCAGAGCAGATGATGCATTAAACATCAAGCTAGGCCTCAAGCCATGCAATATGACCACCATTTGTCAGGGTCCTTTACATGAAATGCGATAAAAGGCGAAAAGCATACTCTCTTTTGTCTGTTTTAGCCCTAAGTGCTTGTTTCTGACTCTGTGTTTCCTATTAATCATTTACCACCCATGTCTTTCTTGGATAATCTTTCTTCTCTCTTTTTGTCTCCCTTTCACCCCCCCTCTCTCTCACTCTCCCTTCTTCCCCATTCCCCTCTCCCCACATGCTTTTCTTACTGGTGAGGAAAGCTGCTCTGTTTTGACTGACAACGTCTAGTGTCCTGTAATGTAATATTCATAATGTGTCATATAGTAAAACATCAGTTTGAGCGTGATGCAGATTTCATGTCTGACAAGGTTAGGCTGTATGCAGGTCGTGACAGCACTGGCCTTGGGCAATAAATACCCAGCCCAGTGCCTTGGGAGCTCTTGGTCTCTCAAGTGAAATACCCTGGTGCGTTGCATCGGTGCCCCAATTAGTGCAATGACATAGAAACATAGTATTTCTTCACACAGTATTGTGTAGTCTGTGGGGAGGTTAAACGTTGACCTCTTCTTAGCAGACCATCATACGCTCAGTGGCCATTTGCAGTACTACAATAACAACAGTTAAAAGCTGTAAGATTATATGTTCACAATGGTTACTGATTATGTAGCATTGTGCGTATAGCACACGGTCTCCTCAGAAAACTGTCTGCTTGAGAAACCTGGAATTATTGTTACAATAGATAGCCTTTGTGATGTATAAATATTAACGTGTTTTTACATGACATTTTAACCTGTTATCTTGAGGAAAGTTATCAGTTTGTCCGATCTCCTTTTGTGGCAGATCAAAGAGCTTCAGCCTGAGTTGCCTCAGCCGCCGTTTTAAAGGTTTTTATGTTATCTTCCATAGCTGTATAATGATTGTTAGGTGACACTTTATTTTATGGGTCACATAGTTTCCATCTTCCTAGAAAGGAACTGATATATAACTATAATGTCGTGGGAATGTACCTAGAACAAACTAAGTGGGTACTAATTACAAGGAAACTGTAAATGGTGTTAATTACTTTCAAATAATTTTGGTTAACTATTAGCGTAACCTTCTTTTATCAGAGTACACGCAGAGCAGGTCAGCTTAACAAAAATGTCAAAGTTATCTTTCTGTGTAGTTGGAAAATACAGCACAATTCAACATGGTGTTCTTTATGGTAAAAAGATAATGTTTTAGGAAAGTATTAGGAAATTATGGAATCCATAGTTTTTCAAAGTTTACAACAACCATGTCCAAGGCGCAGCAAACATCATATTGTTGTCGACACATGTTTGGTATTGCTAAATAAAGTCTTCTCTCCCACCCCTACCCTCCTGTGCTCTCTTATCCTCATTCTTTGGTTGGGTTGAATCATTAATATCCCTACTGGCTGACAGAGCCTTGTCATCTGCTCTGACCCTGTGATGGTAGGTTACCTATGGAGAATGACCTCTCTGCACGTCTCCCAAGGGCATCGTCACATTTCATCATGGAAATGCCCTGAACAAAGTCCTTTTTACAGGGAGGGAGATACAGGATGGGATTGGGGCCTCTTGGATTTGAGTGCTGGTGCTCTCATCGGAAAAGGAGCTCTTATTAGGGTTAGGGGCAGGTCATTGTACCCTCAAATAATATTCCTTTAAGAAATAATTTTGGGCCATGTGTTTATATTTAGTGTTTTAACCATTTATTTCCTGATTGCTGATAAGAAGTATTTCTGTTCTATGTTTTTCTTCTTTCATTTTGCATAGATATATTTTCTGTTCCATGTCAGTCTAAACGTGATCCCTGCATCCCCTCCTTATAATCCTCAGGTGTTGAAAACTTGACACGGGCTTTGCCATCTCCCCTCATCGCCATCGCCATCATCAATTTGTCACAGCTCTTTGCGCGCAGGTCTTGTCTCTGCCCATGTTCCCCGTCCTTTCTCACCCTCCACTTAGGTGCTGCATGCATGTCCTTTTTGGCTACCAGCTCAGCTCTGACATACTGGTTCCTCTATCCCTGCCTGCCTGTGAAAGGATCTGTTGTCATCTATGTATTCCAGCCATTATCTTTTGACGTTTCTCTCCCTCCCAATGAAAGACAGAGTGTGTCTGAAAGCTTAGGGAGATATCTGTGATGCTGCAAGAATGACAGCTCTGGCAGACAGGTTGTATCTCCTTTCGTGCTATTTATGTCGTACTTATTCTTATCAGCTATGAAGGTTATTACATACAAGGAAAACTCACCATTAAATCTGCATCACCATTAAGTCTCAGTAAACACGGCTTCTTTTCAAGTTTTGTTGATGCGTGCATTTACATATTAGAAAGTGTGTCAGTTTGATTAGTATATCACGGTTTACACATTTCTTTAGATTCTCTGTCTCTTTGTCAAGAACTGGCCTACAAGGATACCTTTTAAAGGGTAATTTCTGCATTTTTAAACCCGGGCCCTATTTTCACATATTTTGGGGTCAAAATGGCTTGTTAAAGTTAAAAAAGAAGTTAAAATGTCTGTACAGTACAAAAGTCCTGCCAGCAGCTGTAAACTAGCTGCAACGTATTTAACGTACAGTTCTCGCTCTGAAATCTCATGAGAGATGAGATGCTGCAGGAAGACGCCAGTGAAAACGTGAGTCAGAGTGGGAGGAGTTTGTTGTGTACATGGAGGAAGTTACTCCATTGTTAGACACCTCGTATACCAGTCTATGCCTGTCAGTGGCAATTTTTGTGGACGAAATTTTGACGAGCACATTGGCCCCAAAGGAATACGTTGCAGCAACTGCAGCCAGATCGTGGCCATCCACTGCATGTATTCCAAAACTTTTTGTTCCTACTAGTCATTTCGACAAAATATGTGAAAATAGGGCCCAGGTTTAAAAATGCCAAAATTACCCACTAAGAATTTCAATCAAATTGTTGTTTTTCTCACAGGTACTTTGTTCTGCATAAGTTGCCCCAGCTGAAGTTTCTGGACACCAGGAAAGTAACCATGAAAGAAGTGATAGAGGCGCAGGAAAGAGGAGCATTGATGAAAGTGGTCAAACCTAAGTCGGAAGCTGTAAGTTAAGCTCTTTATTTAACACTGTTTTAAGCAGTAGTCCCTCTGCAGTCTTATTTGGATTTGTCACGTTCATCCCTTTCTTCCCTTTTCTATTCTTTTCCTTTATCCCTCCATTCTTATTGTGCATGCTAGAATGTCAGTCCCCCTTAAGGTCCTGGCACTGTGGCCCTTTGAAAAGATTCTGTCTTTACTATTGCTTCAAGTGTGCATGTGTGTGTTGCGTGTGAGTGCATGTGTGTGTAAGTGTGTGTGACCGCGGCCTGACCTGATTCTGTATGCATGAGCCCAGATCAAAGACGACGGGCAGCTGTCCGGTTGCGGATGTGTTGCCAAGTGTGACATGGCTGGCGATTGGAGTGACAGCTCACGTACATTACGCTCACAATCGCTTAATTATCCCAAGCCCCTGCACTTATTCCTCCCTGTCTTGTTTTGGGCCACACAGACTAATTAGAGCTGGGGAGGCTCATACATATATACCCCCCCCACCCCACCCTTTGAGAATGCAATATAAATGAACGGCTTTTTCCTAGATTTGATTTCATGTAATTGTAAGGTCATGAAATATTTACAGTTTGGATCCGCTAAGCTTTGTCGTTTCAAGGTCTCTGGGGTTCTGACAGTGAGCCTGGGAGGTAAAAATGGATCCAGAGTAGCAAGAGCGACGGCATCGAATGACAAATCAGGAGCATGTGAGTCGATGTCGGGTTTAAAAGTGCACAAGTAAAACAAAATATTTATTGTTTCAGACAATCAGCTAAGATGGTGTACTCTCTTAGTTCATGCTATGCTTTGTTCTTGATTCTTCATGCAAGTGGCAAGCGAGAAAGCAAAACACTGAAATAATTTAACCTCAGTCTGGCATGTTTGGTAGATGGAGAAAAGTGGAATGAAAACACTGTTCATCCACTTTATATAAAAAGAAACTAAGGACCTCTACAATGCTTTTTGGCAGGGTAAAGTCACTTTATAAGATATTATTTACATAGCTTGTCAGTGAAAAAGAAATGTTTGCCTTTGTCGCCACAGCCTTAGATGAAAGAAGAGATAATCACTGATTCTAGCTGACATGATGTGTGTGTTTTTATGTCTTTGTGTCTTTGAACCTGCTGTATATGATTATTTATTCCCTATGCAAAGTAAAAGGTTACAGCTTTGATGAAAACACGTCTACCCCCCATTGCACACAGTATTTTGTGTGCCTAAACATACTCCTGCTGTCCTATTCAATGTTCCTTATTAGCAGTGTTTGACTGAGTCTACACAATGTAGAGAATTTTCTGCCTGGACATGTCCCGTGTCCCGGCCCTGAGACATCACAGCAGCATTTCCATAACATTTGTTTTGAGTTAGATGAGATGTGATGTGTCAACTATATCAGACTTGATGAGCCGTGAGTACCTCCCGGCTCTAATTGTCGACATCATCAGAGTGTTTGTAAGCTGACCAATAGTGCAGGCCACCAATTAATGAAACGTCTGCAGCAGAACAGGAAAGCGAGGAGAGATAATGGCATAATAAGATATTTGTGTTTGCTTATATGTCTGTACAGCAGGGTGTTGCTCATAACATTGGCTCATGATACAGTGCCTGCCATTTGCTTCGTTACAAAGGATGGTAATTAGCTGTCTTGCTGTCGCTTGCACTACCATTTGAGTCTCAATTAGCGCAAGTATTGGAGGGAAAAAATACAACAGTGCAGACGTGATTTAAAAGGTTTATTTTCTGAAATTATTTGACTTTGGGTGTATCTATTTAAAGTTTTTTTGCTCTGCGCACAATTCTTTTTACTCCAAGACTTTATATGACAAATCTCCTTCCTACTGTTTACAGGAGATAAATTGAAACCATAGAAATAGCAGCAGCAGTTCTGCAGCAGGGTTACAGCGATACATGCCCATTCATGACAGCATAAATCTGAAGTAAGAGCCCCTTCTCTATCAGATCATTCCCAGTGCACGAAATACGTATTGGAATAGTTAATGGACTCGCTATGAAAGAGACAGTGATGAACTTTCGAGACTCCTCTTGAGTCATATCGGAGTGGATTGTGAGCACAGTTCTAACTCCTTTTCAATCATGCCATTATGGCATGGCGCTGAGCGAAGCCACATGGTTCTGATAAAGCAGTTATGGTCTTTAGCACAATCTGAACACCATAACATTTTATACATTCCCAGTGTTTTCCATGTTGCCTAAATCACAACCAGACAGCCAATGGCCGGTTGTTTGCAGAAAAAGGCACACACGCACGCATGCACACATAAAACTGTGATGAGATTTGTAAGTGCAGTATTAACAAAACAATTGTAGCCATTAGAAAAATGTATATCTTTGTGTCACAGAGTCAAACCATTACTGCAAAGAAAAACATGACAAAGAATTGTGGTCAATTAAGATACCCATGTTAATACACTGAGCGTCATTTTGTGGATTCTTTCTTTAATTGCTATTGTGTGTCTTCATGCACTTGTGGCATGATACTGAAAGTGGGTGACAAGGAGCTGTCCCTGGTTTGTCTGTATGTTTTGCTATTTGGCTTCAAACTCAGAGGGGGAGATATTTTTTTCCTTTGCGTTTTTGCTACACTGCTTTTCTGAGTGGAAAAGACAAGTAGTGGGACAGAAACAAATGCAAAGTACAATACAAAAACAAGAGAGGGGGAGAGAGAAATATATATAAATACCTGAAGTAAACAAACAGTGTGGACGATTAAATGTTTTCCCAAAACCACAACACTAAGCAGAGTCAGAGTAGAAAAGCCTTGAGCTGTATTTTGGGAAATTGGGCGTGTTGGAATGCTATAATGCGATAATTCTCTTTGAGGACTTAGAGGTCATAGAGTGAAATGGCGTTAAACCACGTAGAGCCATTTTGACTGTGTTGGGCTGCTTTTGGAAAATACATGTGGTACTTTTTGGCTCGATTCCTCCACCTCCCTCCACTCTGCCACGGAGCCCACATTATGTTGTTGAACCCTTGGGGTTAAACTGGCCATGTCTATCAAAACACTGTGACAGCACATTCTGTTTTCGGATCCCAAGCACTGCTAAAAAAAACGTGCGTAGCAAATTTAACTAGTAGAATAACATTTACTCCTTGCCACATGTTTAAGAGTGTTTCACAGTGAATGAAGTAACTCCATGGTTCCCCTCACTAAGCACAGCTTGGTAGCTACGTCAGCGGGTATAAATGTTCCTCGGATGTCACTTAGATTTTGCCTGGACATAGAATTTGACTTGATTTCCTAGCATGAACACACGCTTTTTTTCCCCCCACATCCTTCTGCGTATAATGTAAAGCAGACTGCATTGCAGGGTGGCTTGAGCCAGCTCCCGGGTCCCATGAGTCTCTGCACACAGGGTAACGGTTCTTCAAGGGAATTGACAGTGACAGAGCCAGGAAAGTCCTCAAGTGGATCTTTTCAGTTCTGTTTTTTCTTCCCCAGACACTAACCTGTTTTACTCTGCAGTAGACAGCGGTTCATTTTAAGTTCGCGCTGAAAGGAGCAGTCCAAATCTAAGCTGCATGGTTTCAGACCCATGATTGTGCATTATGTGAAGCATGATTGTGTTTTTTTGTTTTTTTTTGCAGTGCAACTCTGGAAAAAGAGGAGGCATTTTGCCTATAGGTTGGTTGTTTTCTCAAATGTACCCTGTAAAGTATGTTGCCACGTTCATCTATGTGCTTGAGAGTTATGAGTTCCCCGAAGCTCTCAAACATAACAAACAGCATGCAATATAGCGCTTTGTGAATGTGCCTTCAGTGGGTATGCTGAATCATTTTACTGAACAAATGTGTCCTGAGAGAAAACTCAAAGAATACGGTTCTCAACAGGGGAAGGAAATATAACCCAACAGATTGCTGTGGAAGCAAGTTTATTACCACTCTTGGCTCTCTGCTAGATTCTGTATTTGCACCAGCTATTATACATACAGAACCCTGATTTGTCACCTTAGTTTTATGGCACATTCCTGAATCAATATGTATACAGTAGGTCAAATAAGGACAGCACTGTGGATTGAGTTGGAGTTGTTGGCTAAATGTAACCATACTGAGTGTCTGTCTGCTTTATGTTCCGACAAATAAACTCACCGACATATTGTGATCTGCTTGTTTTCAAATTATGTTCTTTGCCCCATCTTACATAATGTCTTGTTATCTGTTAATTACATCACTTGAGACACTGCTGTTCCCCATCTTTTAATGACAACATATTCTAAATGTTAAAACAGCTGTTTATAATTGTTTTGACATGTTTAGTTTGTATGATAGACGAAACACGCTGCGTGTTTGTGTCAGATATTTCCAGGAAGCCACGTGTTCATGCTCTCAGGTATGTGTATTTGTGTGTCAGTATCTTTGAGTGTTGTGTGCCTCCATGTGTGTATTTCTCTGCAACTGTTTTCTGACTGCTGAAGTAGAAGCTGTCCGTTGTTTGGACCAGTGCGGCAGGCCCTGTTCTGAGAACTCTGGCAGCTTAAGCTGAGAGGTCATGCAGGGGTTATAAACTGGGAAAACAACAGCAATTAGAGGGAGTGACTCACACTGTCCACATAAATCATCCAAGTCCTGAATATCATAAACACACTGTAAAACTTTAAAGCACAATTAATAGTAAGTAATAGGGCCAAGATTGATTTATTGCCTCTTTCAAAGCCTGGAGACATGGGTGCGTGACCTGAGTGTCATGTCACTCTCGCAAGCAAAAATGATAGATGGTATTATTCATTTTTGGCTAAACACAGCGAATAAAAACAAACATGTGTTTTTGTAAGGGCTTTTATGAGACACTGAAGTGGCTGCGTTGCATTAACTGATTTTCCTCTCCTTCTGCTGGCATCCAGTACAGAGAAAGAACGCCTCTGTGGTGAAGCATTTGTTGTCTCGACGTCTCTTGTGTTTAGCGGTGGAGTTTGAGGCCTGTCAGAAAACACGCCAAGGCTGGCCAGCAATAATGAGATGTCTCCCTCTCCCATTTTGATATAAAGTTTTCA